GACAACAGTCTGATAGATCAGAATGACAACAGAATAAGAAGGCAACAGAAGCTAAGTAGGTATGGAGACAACTGTCAAAGGCCTTGAAGGAATGGTGTTTAAACAATAGATCAGAAAAAACAAAGAGAAAACGGAAGGATTAAAAAGGATATTATCAGTCTAACAGAGAAGACAGAAAATGCCAGTCCTCATCGTTTGAACAAGATTTATCAAAACAGAAAATCAGACATAAAGACATTGCAAAAATCAAGGTGAAAGTCAAAGAAGCCTCAAAATAAGAACTATCACAAAAATGGAAATGTGGACAGATTATGTGTGATAATACTAAAATGACCATATTTCAGTGAATAGCTACAAAGATAAACTCTAGAAGAAAAAAGCAAACATTCTCATTTTGATAAAGACAGTCTTTGCCTATCCAATACACATGCCTGCACTGTTACTCTGGTAATATAAAAAACACATATACATACTGACTTGGCCATCAGCAAGTTTGATGTTTTAAAAAACAAATAAATCCGTGTAATATCAGTGCTCCGGCTTTCAACAGCAAATATCAGAACAAAATTTACAACTGAGAATGCCAGGTTGTAGTCATAAGACAGGGAAAAAAGTTCAAGTAATCAAAGTATTCAATATTTTGGAGCTTCAAATTATCAAGATAAATCCTTAGTGATACACATAAAATTTTGTCATGTGTCACTTCCAGATCACATTCTGAAACCAGAATTCTTCACTCCCTTCTTTATTCTAAAATCTGCTTATGAAACATTCCCCTGGAGTGTGCAAAAGCACAAAAACACTAACGTCATATATCCTTATAAAACAGTTAGTGATTAACATTTACTTCAGCAGAAGTTAGTACCACGATGCCGTACATATGCTCTTCCTGAGACAGGGTCTACTGTCTTGCCACTTGTTTTCATTCATTAGACAAGTAAATATGGAAATTACTGGAAGCCTGAGTTGCACAGTTCTAAAATGAAAGGCCTGCCTGCAGTATGGAGGGAGAGGACAGGTAGAGAAGAATCACACTCAGAGCCTTACCTTCCAATTAGCAGGAACTCCCCAAGTACTCCCAGGCGCCTCATGGCAATGAGGATCCCCCTCACTGTCATTCCCTCACAGAAGCAAACCACCACTCTAGCCTTGGGTAGTCTTTCTCGCAGCTTGCGGAGCAGGCGATCAAAGCTCTTTTCCCCAGCGTTGCTGTAGATCTTGTCAGAGTGAGCAATGCAGAGACCCTCTTGGGCAGCCAGCTCTTTGAAGGCTTCCATTCCACTTTCCCCATAATTTCCTGTTTAAAAAAAAAAAAAGTTGATAATATAACTTGCATTTAACAAATTAAGGAGCAGCTGTGATGGGAAAGGGATAGTTTTCCTCAAAAAAAGCTCAATTTGCATTAGCAAAAGAAAGAGCAAGGGAGGTCCACTAAAGTGAACATGCTCAGAGTGTGCTGGAGCAACAAGATATCCACATATCAGTAGGTCTTAACTGACCTAGAGACTGCAAGTTTCTTTTCTTACATTGATTTACTAGTGGATATTAAAGGCAAACACGGGATGGATATGTAGAAAAGGGGACAAGGACAGATCAGACATCAAGGATAAAGTTTTATTAACATTTCTACAGCAAAAATCACAGTTCTGCTAATCCAGAAAAACAGTCACAGTACAGAGAAAAAAGGATTTCATTCCAAGCTGTTCCGTACTCCATACAGTTCCCGCTCATAAAAGTGAATGAAAGATGGATGTGAACTTAAAATGTACCGATCTGGCAGCATTTTGAAAGCAACTCACTGCTAATCTGACTGACCAATGCCTGTAAAAGTTAAAATTTAGGCTTGATGTTTCTCTTGGAATAGAGAACTTTCTGTCTGTAAGAACTTTGGAAATCTCTTCTGAATATAAAAATATTTTAACTTTGTAGTTGAGACAATATCAAAGCTGATTCTCAAGTTCCCTTCTTTTTCTATTTATAGATTTTGGAAGGCAAATCAACAGCTTTACAAAACTCAGACTGCCTTCAGCTATGGAGACAGGTGAAATCTCAAGTTTTGTTTGCATATTTTATGCCTGCCATGAGCACAGGATTTGTGATGAACATCAATCACACAAGAGGAGCAGATGGATTACAAAAAATTGTCTATTAACAGCAACAAGAAATGGTTCAAAGAGAGAAGCATGAATTTTAAGCTATCCAGATTCCTAACGTTTGCTTAATTTATTGAGGGAGTAACATCAGATATGTTGATCACTTCTAGACCCAGACCTTTTCAAGCCAGGGGTGACTGAAGAGATCCATCTTCTCCCTTTGCAGTGATATTTTGAAATAGCAAATTGCAATGAGGAAGACTTCTGAATCAACTTAACTTCCTCTACAAAAAATAAAATAAAATAAAATAAATCACATCAACTCAAAAGGTGTAGCCACCAGAGAGAAAATTCAGCAAGAGGCAGTTCAGGCATTCTTTATAAATCCAACAAAAACACACACATTTTTCCAGAAACATGGATCGTTTGCCATAGATCAGACACACTGTGACATTCGTAGTCATACTAGGATACAGCCTGCCAGATCTAGTGTCAAACACAAAACTCAAGTCCCACAGCCTTTTGCACTGCACTGCCCTGCCCTACTTTCTCACAAATTTACAGTGCAGCAGAATGGCCTCTTTTTGAATCTGTGACTCAGCACCAGATACAGCAAGCAGGTCAGTCTGCTTTTTTGTCTGTGAGCCAGACATACGCCAGAGCAGGAGCGATGCTGTAGCCCTGCATGGCTGCGGGGAGGGGAGAGGAGAGGAAGAGCTGTGCCTAGCAGGAACACACCACTAAACAGCCCCCACTGTGGGCTCAGCACTGCAGCCCCATCCCATGACCATACACTTGAGTAAGTGATATGGCCTCATATAGGGCTTGTCATAAACTGAGAAGGACACAGGTGGAGACATTTCCATATATTTATAGGTGATAACCTGCAGTCACCAAGGGATTTACCCCAGGACCTGAGGTCAGGCAGTTTGAGCTGTACTGCTTTTATGCCTCGCCTCAAGCCCCAGACTGAAGCAGGACAGCCTCATTGCTGACTTGCCATTAGCAAGCACCCTATGCTTTGGAAGGAAATTACGATATATTTCCCAATTCCATACGGAACCTTCTGCAACACAGACTCATTTGAAACCAGTAGGACTATTCTTAAAGTCTTACCTAAGGCAACCCAGGGTACTAAACTGAATCTTCTTAGATGTTTAGGCAATGCATATTAGAAAATAAATGTAGTGGGCTTCTACCTAAATATTAAGCTAGGATGGGATTTTCTCATACAGCAGTACCGCATAAACTCTGCTGCATAATTCAGGTTAATGATTCCAACAAATGAAAAATTAAATCCACTTGGAATGATTTTTTCCAGCTTTAATTTTGATGGGATAACAGTTACCTCAAACATAGTCACACCTGTACCAACAGTACAGCAGCCCATCAAAATACAGGCTGAAGTCAGATTGTTGCCTATAAATTCAATGAGGGTGATAAGGAGCCCAGAAGGGAAAAAGCTAATTAAGATCAAGAACAACACTGACACAAGATCAAATAGGCATAAAATAGGCAGAAATAATCTGAAGCTAAAAATGAAACGTTTTATATGTGAAATAATTAGTGCAACTGCTTTCCAATAGCAGCACAGAGACAGAAATCCGATGTTAGACTAGCGCTTGCTTAGCTCACAAGAGCGTTGTATAACACAGATGTCTCCAACAGCCAGCCACGAGACTTGATGACCCAGGAGGTCCTCTCAAAGTCTGCTCTCCCTGCTCCCAAAGCAAGCCAGCGTGCTGCACACCTTCCCCCTCCAGGGGAAAGGATCAGGGAGAAAGCGAACATGTAACAGATGTTAGATACATTGTTCAATGCACTCAGCTACCAGGGTAAGCACAATGTAAGGGCATATATGGGATAGAAAACACTAATTAATTCTGCGCAACAGCCAAGAACATATCCCATCTGTACCAGCTTGCTGCATACATCCATTTCAATCTACATGCATGCAACACCTGAGAGAGGAAACACGTAGTGAAAGAAATCTGCAAGAGATGGTAGTCAGTGAAGAGTTACAACAGGGCCACGGGCTGAAGAACAATTTTCCTTTGAAAGAGCCATTGAAGAAAATTTCCAATCTTATCTCCAACTGTCTTTTGTTATCAGAATCAGCTGTGAAAAGCCAAAGTATTTATTATTGTGAGGCTACAAACAACTGATTTTCATTCTGACCTGTACCCAAAACTAGGTGAGCCAGTAACACACTTCAAGCCCCACAATACCTTGTTAATTTTTAATGTTTTTTTCTTTTTTTTTTTTTTAGCTCTGTTCAACTTGTACCCTACTCAGAGAACCAGATATTTTCCTTATGTGCTCCAAGCAGACTCTGTAAAATAGTGTAAAGGTAAATTCTAACCCTATCATGGCTGCAATTTTACTGACAGGATTTTCACGACACCCTTCTCTCAGTGCCAGAGGCAGCTTTGCTTCACCACTGTAAAAATCATAGATAAAGCCATTCCTGAGAGGGATCCACATATCTGAAGATGCTGGTGAGAACTACATGTAGTGGAAATTATTCACACCCGTTTCATTACACACATTAAATTTCATAACAAAAACATTAAGAAGCTGTAGTAAAAATTAAAAAATGTTATCTTGATCAACAGAAGACAGACAAAAGAAGAAAGTGCAAAAACTTTAGCCTCCCAAATTGCTCCTGTGAGACAGTAAGTATTAAATTTCTGCTACAGCTACACTGCAAGTAACACTATTTGCTTGTATTAACACTTGAGCAGTGTGGGGAGCAGAACCCATAAGCTCCATCTAAAAGGTTTATATTCTTCTTTTTATTATAGCTGTTTGGCAAATTTACGCCCATTCTCTTTGTCAAGACAACCATTTATTTTTCATTTATGAAATGGAGCGGAAATGTAGCCTCAGCAATCAGATGCTTATGAGAATCCTGGACATAATCTTCTTGAGGGATACACAGAGTGGCTGTGTGGGTCTTCCCAAGCCACGTGACAGAAAGTGCTGTGTTTTCAGTGGGCTTATAACCAAAACAGCGTGTCCCACATAAATCAATGTCAGGTTTCATTCAAGGGTAGGAATTATTTGTGGGACAGCATAAGGAAATATGAGCCATTCATATTTGTGCTGCAGAGAACATCCCCTTGAAATGCAGGCTAGCACCTGTTTAAAAAAAAAAAAAGTCTTAAAGAGAAGGAAAACTATAATGCTGAAGGGGAAGACTGAGACTATTCTCTCACTGTGCTTTCAGTGTCAATAGGAAATATCAACTACTTTTTTAGAGACCCCTTTAGAGACAAACCTACAAAAACAATAACAAAACCCCACAGCAGAGGACTGTGCTTGGAAGAATGTTCCAATGTACTTAAGTAACAAAAGGCAGGGAGCAAGAGATACTTCAGCTACCTGGGCAATGAGCAATACCTTCAGGTGAGGTCACCTATTCCTTACCATTAGGGGCTTATTTGCTGCATTTTTCCTCTAAACAGCAGCAATAACCACAATGCAGATGAAAGGTGAAACCAAAACAAAACAAAAAGTATATCCTGCAAACACACAGCAAAGGAAGTGCACCAATAACACAACCACAAAATCTAATTTCACTGCGGGGTACTACAGAGGCAAGTCATATTGCAGGAAGGTCCCCCTTTTCACAAATAACAAATGTGAAACTATTCCCTGTCCCCTTCTTTCCTCTCTCAACACTATGATTCTTTTGTTCACCTCTCCCAAGCTTGTAGATACATTGCTGGAAGTATGAAATTTGTTTCAGTGCTCAGTATTGATTCACTATAAAACATCTCTTTTCCTCAGGTAATTAACTGCTTTTTTGGCAGAGAGAAAATAAGAGGATAACAAGAGCACTGCATGACATAACAGCAAGGAATAACTCTCAAAAGCTTCTCTACTGCAAAGGCAGATTATTTGAGAAGAGGAAAGCAAGGACATGATCTGATTATTAAGCTACTTCCTGATATGTTGCAATAACTAATTTGTAAAAACTAGTGGTAATATTAATTATGACAGCAACTGTACAGTGGCCAAATACAAGTCTGGGAAGACTGGAAGGTTTTGGACCACTGAACAGAAAAAAAAAGATGGCAAAAAAGAAAAGGAAAAAAAGAGTGCCAATTTTCCTTCCTATGACATCCTGTGTTTCCCTATGCAAAAAAAGGCATATTTGAATAGAGTTAGATAGTAAGAAAATGGTTGAGTTATCACATTT